TACTTACTTCAGCGAAGACCACTCTCTAATCTTGGATTCCTTTGAAGAAAGGAGTACTAAGGTTCTTTTTGACTTTCTCAAAAGGATATTAGCGATTTTTAGAAAAGAAAAATCAGCTTTCACTATTTACTTTCACAATTTCTCTAGATTCGATGGTAGCCCAAATATACATTAATTTTGTATATGATTGTGATATATGTGCATGACAATCACATGATATAAGACCATTATAGCAACAAAACTTTTACCATACATTTGAATTAGCATATGTTTTAAATTTATATGAATGAACATAAGATACATGAGCAAAAGATGTCATTTCTAAGAACTCTATCAAAATATATATGAGCTTGTGATTTCAAATGTAGAACTAATTTTGCTTTCAATAAGTATTTTATTTTTCTAATTTTTTAACATCCTTTGATTGATCAAATAATTTTTTTAAATTTTAGCTCATCACAATTTTTTGAAAAAGAAAATGCATATTAAAAATTTATGCTCTATTTCCAATGTTTTATATTTTTTCTTCAACTTTTTCTATTCACAAACTAGTTCATTGTAAATATCATCTAAATCTTCATATGATATTTCATCATATCTCAAAAGTATTAGAAAGGAGATAGCCATTTGCTAAAAGATCTAAGTTCACCTCATCTTCTGAAGCATCATCACTTAATTCTTGTGATGTTTGATTTATCCATAAAGCTTTCATCTTATTTTTGAATTACTTTTTCTTCTTCTTGTCATTCTTCTTCGCATGCTCTTTTTCTTCTTCCTCTTTTTTTTTTTCTTTTAAAAAAAAAATTGTTATGAGATTTGGAATTATTTTCCTTATATATCCAGGTGCTTGAAAATGGTAACACAAAATACTTTAACCTAAAGAATTTTTAGTATGAAATTTATGAATCTTAGAATTTACATATTTTGATTTTTCCATTTATAAATATTTCCAAGCCTTCTCTAAAGCATAGTAACTTTATCACTACAACTTCAATATTTTAATTGGTATTATCACCGTCCTCATTTATATGTAGGGCTTATATTAACTTAGCACACTTAAATAAATTAATAAAAGGAAATTTAATCTTGCTTCATAATGGGGCTTATATTAACTTAACACACTTAAATAAAAAAGCATGGCCATGATTCCAGGTTCCTCAGAATTGAGAAGTTCCTTTAGCACTATGTAATGTGATGCATTGAATGTGATTGCTTTCCAAATATTAAAAACTTTATACTATCCCTTGTAGGTTAAATAGATTCTTTTTATTTTTTTTAAATAAAAATATAAATCAAATTGAAATTATTAAATGAATGTTCTCTCCTAAGGAATAAAGAAGCAAATGGAGAGAACATCCTCTTTAGGAAGGTTCTTTTCATTTAAAAACATCACCAGAGGATCAAGATAGACCTAGAGAAGGAGCATTAAAGATTAGGGAACATTTCATTTTTATAAAAGACTTGCATCATTGAAGGAGTAGAGTATTATGTGTAAATTTAAAAGTATTACCTAGTTCCCTATATTAATTTGTAAAGAGTTTGTAAAAAGTTGTAATTAAGTGACACTAACCACCTGGACTTTTCCCTTTATTTAATCATGGTTTAAATTGTTTGATTGATTGGCGTATGTTGACCTCATTTTTGAATGAGGTTTAAACTCACTATCCTCACCACCTTTAGTGTTTAGGTGACCCATCTTTGGTTTAAACCTAACCTATAGGAATCTTTGAGAGAAATGTAGGGTTTCTAATCTAGACTAAACTTATGTTTCTTAGGAATCTCCAAACCATGTTTATGATGTGTTAGAGCAATCCCAATGACATTCTAAGTTTGAATTTAAAATTCACTATATTTATAAATCATGTCGCTCAAAGTGATATTTTGAAAGGTGTATAACTATTCTCTTAATTACAGTACTATGTTGTAGAGTAAATCTTGTTCTACAAAAGTATATGTGTCATGTTAAGTAATATAGTGATGAGAAAAGTATTATTTCCACAAGGATGAGAATTACCCTAAAGTCACCCTAGTATTGTTTATATAAACTACTTAGTTTATCTTATTAATAAAAAGAAGCTAATAAAATAAAATAATAAAATATATAGATTCAAGAGAAAAATTCTATATTTTAAAATAGTTTAAAATTATGATATTTAAAATACATGTTTGTAATAGATAGAATTTCTTCCTAATATTGTTGCAAATTAGATTCTATCATGTTTATTCAAGTATTAACTAAGATTCCTCTTAACTATAGTTTTAACATATCCTTAAGATCCCATAACCCTAACCACCTTATATCTATGCATGGAAAAGTTATGTTTTAAATTCCCTAATTATTCTTTTACTCCTTCGTTGAGGCTATAAATCACACTATATTTTAAGTTTATGTAAGGTATTTATAGGAACTAAATTAAGAATGAATGATCCAAAAATAATATTGAGTAATTCATGAAATTAGTAATATAAAATTAAGTAAAACATGATTTCTAAACTGGCATAAGCCTTGAGAAATGTTTCTATCCATATATGGATTTGAAGTTAAATAAAATAAGCTTCATAGTAATAAACAAAATAAAATATAATAGATAATTAATGATAGAAATAATCCAAATCCTTTAAAATACAATAAAGGACTCTTTTGTTGCAAATCTAATTTTATGGACTAGAATTTTGATGATAGTAAACATTCATGTTTTTCAATGACTGCCTTGCCTATTAACATTTCAGGTCCACAAGATCGAGTGCAACTCAAGCGAGCTCAAGATTAGGTAGATTAGGTCTAAGTCTATTATAAATGATGTGGTTGAATTCTCATCATCTTCTTGAAAGGGCTTTCATCGCCCATTTGGATTAGAATGCCTCATCTACAGCTGCAATGTTGGGATGAAAACAACATTGCAAGAATTGCCTCGAGAGTAGGAACACCTCTTACGCTAGATGGAAACTTATTCCATTTGGGAAGAAGAGAATTTGCCAGAGTATGCGTCCAAATAAAACTTGATCAAAAGCTGCCAGTCAGAGTGTGGGTGGATAGTATGGGAGGAAGATTCTTCTAAAAACTTGAGTATGAAAGAATATCAAGTCTCTGTTTTGATTGCGGCAAAATTGGACACATAAAAGGAGATTGAAACAAACAGAACACTGCTGAAATTATTAAGTCTTCTGAAGAAACTTCTCAAGCTTCATAGAAGATGAAGGCCGTGGAGAATAGCAGTACTTATGGCCCCTGGGTATTGGTGAATAGCAAGAGGAAGAAGCTAAATGTTGCTATCAATAAAGAGGTAGCCAGAAAGATAGCTACAAGAAACATTTCACACAGAAATACATGGAAAGCAATAACAGGTCCTGGGAATCCGGAAATGATAGAACAATAAAGCAACAAAATGTTGGAGTCACAGTTTGTTAATGACAATCGAGAAATTGAATAAGGAGAGATTGTTATAGATAAGGCGAAAGAAATAGAACCGGATCATATTGAATCAACTGAACTTGACCATGGTCACACATAAGGTAAAACATATGAAATTTTACAGGCTTCAAGGGACTGTAAAATAGAGTAGGGAACTTTGTCCATGAGTAACTCCTTTGAGATTCTGGAAGAAATTATGGTAGAAAATCCAGTGAATATAGTGAATGAGATATTGGAGAAACAAGATGAGACTCATGAAAACACCAAACTGATCAAGAATGTCATACAAGACCGAAAAAAATCTACAATCAAGGACAGGGGGATAGTAGTATCATGATCACTAAAGTGTCTAACAGCAAAAATAAACTTGCCAAAGAAATGAAAATGTTAGGACCCATAAAAGGGAATCACAGAACAAGAAAAGTTGATGGAGTAGTACAGAAGGTCGGGGCCTCAACCCCACTTTTAATTTAATGTCTTCAATCTTGTTTTGGAATTGTAGGGGAGAAAAGAAGAAAGAAGCCTCCCACTTCTTAAGAATCATGATAGGAGAGAATGGATTGTGTTTCATTGGTTTGACAGAAACCAAATTAGAAAATCTGAGAAGTGAAGAAGTCAGAAATCTGGTTGGGAATGAATGGGAGTTTTACCATGAGGCTGCTTCAGGAACTTTTGGAGGCATTCTTGCTCTCTGGAAATACAAAACAATATCTTTTACTGTCATTGTCTCTTCTAGACATTGCATTATAGGCAATATTACCACTCCTAAAGGTATTATGGCCAAAATCTGTATTGTATATGGTAATAAAAACATATATGAAAGAAGGAAACTTTGGAGTTTAATAGAGGAAAACATGAACTGCGAAGTGCCTTGTTTAGTTGGAGGTGACTTCAACTGTCTAATGAACAAGAATGAGAAGATGGGAGGGAAGAAATTTACATTTTCAAGAGGTCCACAAGAAATGATGGAAGTCATGACTAATAATGACTTCCATGACATCGATTTTCATGGACCAAATTTCACTTGGTGCAACAACAAAGAAGGCCTAGCAAGAATTTGGGAGAGGTTGGATAGAGTATGGTTAAATTCTAAAGCTCTGATGAATTTTCCCAATGCAGTGGTTAAGCATCTCCCTAGAATTTCTTTGGACCACTATCCAATTCTTCTACATATTGACAACAATAAGCAACATAACAATAGAGAATTTAGATTTGAGAACATGTGGTGTTCTTATGAGGCAGCAAAAGAAATCATAGCAAAATCCTGGAGGAAAAATGATTTTGGTAATTCCAATGATATTCTTCAAAGAAAAACTGAGAGGTCTCTCAAAATCCTTTATTTTTGGAGCAAAAACAAACTGAAAGAACTGAATTTGAAGATACAAGACCTGAAAATGAGGTACTGCAGTTACATGATACAGAAGCTAAAGACGGAGGTTTGAGTCAGGAAAATCTTATACTTCTTCGTAGTAAGGTGATTGATTTCAACACAAACCTGGCAAGAGTTTCTACCTGGTCAAGACAGATATCCAAATGTCAGTGGATGGAAGAAGGTGAGAAGAACACTAGATAGTATCATACATTTGCAATGCCTAAGAAAAGAGGCAACCAAATTTTACAAATTAAAAGGGAAGATGGATCAGTGGAAACAAACCAAGAAGCTATTCATGAGATCATAGAGAAATATTACTCAAAGAAATGGGGAAATAAAAAATGTAGTTTGGAGGATTGGCCTAAGTTTAAAACTTCAGAGTGCATCCAGGCAGACAGTATAAATTTTCTGAAAGCTGATTACATGAAAGAAGAGCTGGTAGTTACGTTGAGGAAAATGGACAATAATAAATCTCCTAGAACTGATGGCGCCAACGCATGGTTTTTCAAAAATTACTCGAATATTATTGATGAAGCAACCTGGAATGCAACTGATGAGTTTTTTTTCAAATCAGGAAGGATGCCCGAACATTGGATGGAGACTGTGGTTGTGTTGATTCTGAAAGTTCATAATGCTAAAGAATGCTCCAAATTCAGACCAATTTGCCTCTGCCAATGATCTACAAGCTACCTGTCAGTATGATTTTTAACAGATTCAAAAATTGCCTCCCAAAACTTATATCTGAATATCAAGGGGCTTTTGTTCCAGGAAGAAGCATTTCAGATAACTGCCTTATTGCTCAAGAAATCACCAGCAAGATGAAATCATCTATGGCTAAACTGGGATATTTTCTCTTGAGGCTTGACATGGAACAAGCTTATGATAGCATGTGTTGGGAAACTCTACACCAAGTATTGAAACTCACCGATTTTCTTGAGAGTTTGATACATCTGATTAAAAAATGTGTATCTAACCTAAAATACTCTATAGTGATAAATGGAAAAAGAACCAACTGGATCAAGGCTCAGTGCGGCTTTAGATAGGGTTGTCCTATGTCGCCGATTCAAATTATTTTATGTTCTGATCTTCTCTCCAAAGCTCTTCATGGTAATAATGAAAAGTTGGGGATGAGATTAGCTTCGAATATGGAGAAAGTAACACATATGATGTTTGCAGATGATATTCTCGTTGTAGCCGAGGCCTCTCGTAATAATGTAGTGCTTTGAAGCATATCCTCAAAAAATATTGCGGCTAGACAGGACAAGCAATAAACTCCCAAAAATCAATGGTCTTATATGGTAAAAAAGTATCCAGGAAAAGAAGAAGCAATCTGAACAGAATATTGGGATACAAAGAAGTCAAGGAACTCAGTTATTTGGGCATCAAATTGGCATTGAGGAGACTTAAAATTGAAGACTTCAACAACACCATTGAAAAGGGTATGAGCATACTTAATTCATGGGGAGCAAGATGGTTATCATTGGCTGGAAGAATAATCTTCATCAAATCAGCCTACTTGAATATAATTTCTTATCAGGCAGCTCATTCACTTGTTCCTAAAAGTATTTTGCTAAAAATTGACAAAATATGTAGGAATTTTTTGTGGCATAAAGAAAATGGAAACCAAGGAATGCACTACATTGCTTGGTCAAAACTTTGCCTAACTACCAGTTTGGGAGGATTTGGCATCCAAGGAGCATCGGAAAGGTAGGGACTTTTAAGAATAAGAATGGCGTGGATGTATTTATAGAACAACAACTCATTGCTCTGCAAAATTCTCAAAAGGAAATATGGTGACAAAATATGGGAGGAAGGAATGAAAAGAGGATCTTCATCAGCTTGGAAAATTATCAAAGACAGCATCAAGTATATGAAACCAATTATAAGATGGGAAGTAAATAATGGTTTTAGCATAAACATCACCAATGAAAATTGGATATTAGACTGAAACCTTAACACTTGGCCACCAACGTGCAATGCTGCAGCTCTCTCGAATAAAAAGGTATCTTTCCTTATGGATCAAGACGGAAATTGGAATTTAGAGAAAATGGCAGATTTTTTCTCAAAAGACATGATAAATCTTATTCAACAAATGAATAAAGGGGAGATTACCAGAGAAGATAAGTTAGAATTGATGTGCACCAATTCGGGGAAGACTATTTCATCTCTGTGTACTGAAGCTAATAACAGGAATCTTGACAATAATCTAAGCAAGATCAATTGGCTAAAAAAGCTGAAACTCAACCAGAGAACTCATTTGTTTTGGTGGAGAGCACTGAATGATGCATTACCAACTAACCTTGGTTATGCCATAGAAAATTAGCTAATAACTCAGATTATCCTAGAGGATGCCATATGAGGGAAGATACAGAGCATATTACTACTAAACGTTGTAAGCTATTTGAGATTATACTAAGACTGAGACACTTGGGATTCAAATTCCCTTTTTTTCAAAATCTTGATGAATGCATAGAAGAACTCAGTTCTAAAGCTGACAGTGGCCTTGCAAAGATTTATGCACTAACAGTTTATTTCAACTGGAGGTCACGGAATCTGGGTAAACATGGAAATTCGGAATTACCCATTGCATACGCAGCAGCTGAAGTTATCTCTCAAGCATCTTATATTCAATCTGCACCAACTGATAAGAACTGGAGCAACAATCAGCAATTGCTACCCAAATCTTGGTGTTCCCCTCCCGAAGGTTGGTTAAAGTTGAACGTAGATTCTGCTTTATTGAAATCAAACTTGGCAAGAATAGCAGGACTGCTTAGAGACTGCAAAGGTAGAATGATATGCACTTATGGAAAAAGGATGATACATTGGGACATTGATCATCTGGAACATAAAGCAATTCTCATGATGGAAAACCTTACTAAAGATTGGTTTTGTGAATACAAGGGATTAATCATTGAAGGAGACAATGTGAATATCATCAAGTTGCTCCAAGATTTGATAACAATGAAGACTAATAAAGGTATGAATTTTGATCTCTCTTTCCTACAAGTTTTCAATAATATTCTTTTTCTCTTTACTCCTAGAGAATGTAATAAATTGGCCGATTATTGTGCCAAGTTTGCTTTATTAGGTGATCTTTTATGGGACTCCTTTGTTGAAATAGAACTTCCAACAAGTTTTTTACACTTGTTTAGGAAGGACTGTCATGGAGTCATTTTTTAGATGCCCATTATTTTTCTTTGAGATTTATTAATGCAACTTGCATCCTTTATTCAAATATATATATATATATATATATATATGATGTGGTTCCTAATGCTAAGAAACCTTGCACACACACACACACATGGAAGAAAATTTATGTCTGTTAGTTAGAGTTCTCTATTTTGATCACATCATCTAGGAGATCCAAACATCATCCTGGATGATCTGTTAAAAATAAAATTCCTAAATTAGGGCATGCTGGTTAAGGCAGCCATCATTAAGCACATCGTCCTGGACGATATCATATCGGCCGGGATGATAGGCTCAAATCAGAAAGAATCAGCCGCCAGATCGATTTAGGTATTTTTTTTATTTTAAGACATCGTCCAGGACATTGGCTTGGATGATGCAGCACAATTATGCCTAAATTAATCTGGTAATTAAGGAAAGAAATTAAGGTTTGATTGCATGATCACATCGTCAAAAACAATTATAAGATTATCCGTGACAATCTCTTGGATGATTGCTATTGGCCAGCTTCAATTCAGGGCGATCCTCAGGATGAGTTTCATAGATTTGAACTAATCATTCAAGATGATCGTGAGATTGGCCTGAATGATCAAGCTATTTTTTCATCGTCCAGACATTCTTTCAGAGCAATTATTTGAACGATATTCAAGAAATTATACTAATCTTACAAGATGATATTATATCAGCCTAAATGATATGAACAAAAATCTTATGATCGTTACAAACTGTCCTGGCTGATTGAGCGTAATTTACGCTGATCTTCCAAAACTATATGTATATTGTCCTAGATGATAATGAATGTTTATATAAAATAAGAGCTATTCCAAAACTCTGCTATTTAATAGCTCTTGTTGTACCCAAGAGCTCATCTTTTGCTATTGTTTTGATCTGAGAGAGCCAAGAGGAGAGGGAGAGTAAGGAAGAGAGAGAGAGGATCTTGTGAGGGGGAGTTTATGAGGGAGTTCATAAAAATTGCACCAAGCAAGGATCTGTCATAGTCTTCTCCAGTCATCATCCTTAGTTTCTTGGGGGTTCTAGAGAGGTAAACTTCAGCATCTGATCAAGGTTCTCTGGTTGCTTCAGGAGGAAGCAAAAGGAGTTGGGTTCTCTACCTGCTTTAGGAGGAAGCGAAAGGAGTTGGGTTCTCTGCCTGCTTCAAGAGGAAGCAAAAGGAGTTAGGTTTTTTACCTCACCTGGGTTGGTGGAAAGGAGGTTTGTATAGGCTTCTCCGCCTTGCTATGGGGGAAAAAGGAGAGACAGTGAGTTTAATGCAATAATCAGATGGCGCCTCCAGGGAGTGGATGTAGGTCGTGTTGACCGAACCACTATAAATTTATGTATTCTTTATTATTGCTTCTACATTTACTTTCTGCACTTTGATTTATGTGGTGAATCATAGTTTTTGTTTTAAGATTGAGTTTGAAAACTTTTTGAATTTTGATTCATGGCTAACTTTGGTAACCGTAATACAATGGAAGATTATTCTATTACACGTCCACCTTTGTTTTATAATATTCCTTTTAATTTTTTGAAAACTTGCATATCTACGTTTTTATTATCACTTGATTATCGTATGTGGATGCTTATTAAAGAAAGTTATACACCACCTTCTCATGAACATAATGGCATTAAAATTGAAATTCCTTTTACTGAATGAAATTTTGATGAAAGAGATTTAGCACAACTTAATGCAAAATGCTTGAACTACTTTTTCTGTGCTTTGAAATCTAAAGATTATTTGTGTGTTTCAACTTGTGCAACTGGTAAAAAAATTTGTAATAGATTGTGTGTAACTTATGATGGAACTATTAAAGTTAAACAATCTAGGTTGAATATTTTATTATATGACTATGAACTTTTTTGTATGACACATTCTGAATCAATTTCTGACATGTATACAAGGTTTACTCAAATTATCACCTCATTGAATGCTTTAGGAAGAGAGGTAACTAATTATGAAAGGGTCAATAAAATTTTAAGATGCTTGCCTTCTTATTTTGATGCTAAGATCACTACAATTACTGAATCTAAAGATTTGAATACTTATTTGATTGATAACTTACTTGGATCACTCATTGCTTACAAGCAAGGGGTGAATCTAAGAAATTTTGATGCAGGTGAGAAAATGGAGAAAATTGTGGCACTAAAAGCCAACAACACGGACATTGATTCTTCCGGATCTGAAAATGATGATGTTGCCTTCATCACTAGGAAATTTAAAAGCTTTCCCAGGAAAAAGCATAAAGACCATCAGAAGTGGAAAAGAGGTAAGGATAATAAAATTTATAAAAGCTCTTCTGATATTATTTGCTTTTAATACAGGAAGCCTGGACATATTAAAGCTGATTGTCCTACACTTAAGGAGTACCCAGGCAAGGAGAAGGGTGAGGAGAAACCCAAATACAGGAAGGAAAAAAGCAGTACTAAAAAGCTTTCTGGGTGGATTCTACATCTGACTCCTCTGAAACTGAAGCAGAGAAGGAAAC